GGTGGTTGTAAGCCTTGGCGTTAACCGCAACAGCAACGGCGGCGATTGTAAAGATAGTAGTGAACTTCATGTTAACTTATTATTGTCTTATCTGTCTTAGTTGTGAATGAATTGTTCAGCATTACTCGGGCATTTATATTGCAAAACGTTGCCTATGAGTCTGCTCGAAGTTATGTCATCTGGTTTTCTGTGCATGTGTCGACCAAACTAGCATGAACTCCTCCTTTTTCGTTCCACGAGGATACCCCCCTTGTCCCAATTGTAAACACAGACTTCAGTTTTGAATTGTGGGTGTTTCACTTCTTTGCCTGTTGAGGGCGAGATGTTGAGAACCTCGATATATTTAGTATTATAATAACGAAAATAACTTCAGACTCATTAAAGTTTTTTCAAAACAATCTAAAACTTCGTCAAACTAATTCGGCTACATACATAGGTCCTAGTGTCCTATTCTTGGTTTTTCAGAAGGTGTATGAAAGTGTGAAAGTTGAAACACAATAGAAATTTGATGGATTCCCGATTGCATTCACCTGTATTGATGATTATTGATTGAGCCTTGGACGATTTGATTGTGAGAGTTCAATGATGAACGTTCTGTCTGATTGCACTCATTGGCCACAGTATTCACATTTGACATTTCACAATAGGTGTAATTTTACATTTCAATGGTCATCTTCAAAACTAAAATATTTTGTATTGTTGTTTTTTCACGTGTTATTTTTTTTTGTCTAAAAAACGCACCAAAATGAAAATAGCTGGGTTGGTAAACGGCGCCAACATTTGGGCAAACGACATGTCATACATATCGCGGTAACATTTTGTAAGACATGTCGGTCGCACATGGTGTCGGCAGGTTTGCTGGTGGATGTATCGTCGCCTACATACACATATCGAGGCGGCATGTCATACATGTCGCGACGCTATTTTTCAGGGATGTATGTCGTTGTCGTATACCAACCCAGGGAAATGGGCCATAGAGTCAATAGTCATAACTACAATAGGCAATAGCCAATAGTATTTAAAACTACAATTTTTAAAGGGAGTTGGGAGTTGGGACTGTCTTGGGGGGAGGGGGCTGGGTCCTGGGAAGCCGGGAACACTACAGTTTACTTTTTGTTTTGTTTTATAATAAAACCAACTCCAGGGGGCCGTATATTTAATTTTTTTTAAAAGCACATATTCTAAAATAAATATGTATTCACTCGACATTTTTGAGATTGTTTTTATGATTGTTTTCAATGTTTTGAGTGATCATCGGCTCATCGCAGTATTTTTAGCGAAAATACTTTAAAGTGCACACGTGCATAATTAAAAGTAATGTACACAATTTGCTGCAGTTGGTGCCCGGTGGTACTTTATTTTTAAAATCTCCCACCCGGTAGACCACCTCCTCTCCGGCTGACCCCCCCAGACTCCCAGAGGCCAGAGTCCTGACCTGTGGGGACACTGGGGAGTCTCTGAGAGAGAGAAAGCTCAGAAAGGTGAGGAACAATTGTTTTGCAGAAACAAAAACAAAATATATGAATTCTGATTGTTTTTGTTTAGAAAAGAGAAACAAAAAAAACAGGTACAAGATGTATGAAATATCAAATATCAAATATCAAATATTTATCCATAGGTGGCCTGCTCAATTGAAACATATCAGATAAATATTCCGATTGTTTTTCTAATATAGAGTATCACTGTATCAGAGATATTTTATAAATAAATATGATCTAAATATTTATCTCAGTCTATCAGTCATTTTTTTTATAAATACATACTAAAATATCATACTTGCAATTTTACTGAATAGTGAATACACTCATGACTCATATCATCATACAGTCATCATACTGCAGTGTGCCATACTCACTGAGTACTGAGTACTGACTAAATACACCTATTTCATTTTTCTATCATAGCGACATAGCCTCATAAAAGGAACATATGTATGTAGGATATTTTTTTTATAGCATTTCTGATTTAAGATATATAAAAGCTGAACGTTTTACGTATACTTATTGATAAATAATCGTTGCATATGGCCTGAAATTTTCGCCAATTCGACCAGGATAGTCATAGATACACCTATTCCTATATTTTGGTCACGAAATGCAACACCGACCAATGAAAAACGCAAACCCTAAAAAGAATTGCTAAAACCACTGTGTAGTATTTGGAGATAAAAGTATATATTATAACGTATACTTATTGAAATATAAACATTGCAACGTAACATGCTTGACCTCACAATTTTAAAATTTCCCCAACAGCCAGGACTCCAGAAGGTACCGACTACTGAGTGGCGAGTACTCTGTCTACGGAGCTCAAGGACTCCCCGAAAAAGAGTATTTATTGATTCGAACGTTTTTAAAAATATGAAACACAGAAGAACGGAAATGCCAAATGAAAATCACTGAATTTGTATCTGAAATGATAAACCAAAAACTAGACTAAAAAAAATTTACTCAAATAGCCATAGTGGCAACGCTGGCATCAGTGGCAAGGCACTCTGGAATTGGATTGAGTCTCCGTGGAAAAGTTGCCTTGTTCTGGAGAGAAAGATATTTTTTGAGAGAGGTCCTCGCCCTCATCAGGCCATGAAAATATAATCAACCCATGTGCACAATTCAAAAATAGTCTGTGCAATCGCAAGGGGGATACCTTTCGGATAGAATTCGTTCAGACGGGCGACGTTTAGCAGTATAAATACCCGAGTAATTCTGAACAATTCATTCACAACTAAAGACAGATAAGACAATAATAAGTTAACATGAAGTTCACTACTATCTTTACAATCGCCGCCGTTGCTGTTGCGGTTAACGCCAAGGCTTACAACCAGCAGATCACATGTGCCGCTAAGGGATTCACTGGAAAGTCATACGACGAATCCAAGGTCTGCTGTGAGTATTCTGGTAACTGTGGAGATCTTTCTAAATGCACAGAGAGCTTCTGCAGTGGTTCTGCTCAGCATGCTCAGCCTGCTCAACATGCTCAGCTTGCTCAGCCTGGCCAAAATGGTCGCTCTGGCCGCGCTGCCTACAATCAGCGGATCACATGTGCCGCTAAGGGATTCACTGGAAAGTCATACGACGAATCCAAGGTCTGCTGTGAGTATTCAGGTAACTGTGGAGATCTTTCGAAATGCACGGAGAGCTTCTGCAGTGGTTCTGCTCAGCCTGCTCATCCTGCTCAACCTGCTCAGCCTGGCCAAAATGGTCGCTCTGGTCGCGCTGTTAATTCTGACAACAGTAGCAACTCTGACAACTCTGGCAACACTGATAACTCTGATAAGACTGACAATTCTGGCAACACTGATAACTCTGGTAACACTGATAACTCTGGCAACACTGATAACTCTGGCAGTAATGATAACTCTGAGAAATCTGAGAGTAAGGATTTCTCCGACAATTCTGACACTAAAGACAACTCTGAGAGCTCAGCCAGCAATGATAACTCTGAGAAATCAGCCGCCAATGGTAATTCTGAGAACTCAACCAACGCTGACAAATCTGGCATGTCTGAGAGCGCTGACAAGTCCGGCAACCAGAAAAGGCTGACAACGAAAAGGCTGACAAGACAGAAAAGGCTGTCAACTCAGGTAGCACTGCCAGCAGCAGCAACGATTTCAAGATTACTTGCGCCGAGAAGCGTAAGCTTGACTCCGATTCTCTTGAGGGTCCCATCCAAGAGGACAAGGTGTGTTGCCGATGGTCTGGCGAGTGCGGTGATTTGAACAAGTGCACCCAGTCATACTGCGAGGTTTAAAGGACAAATTATAATACAAGAAGAATTTTCATTTATTCGACATTATCGTTTTAAAATTTATTATGTAGTTTTAGCTGAAACACCTTATACGAATAAAACAATGCTGATTAATAAACTTGAATACTTACGGCTCAAATACACTATAGTCACATAACCACGTTCCACAACCTTTGTCTCAATATCTCGTAATATTTGGTGTGACCTACTCATCTATAACAATCCCGAGTGCGCAATTTGCCATTTTTCAACGCTTAACCATAG